CTGTTAATATGGTTTGATGGATGAAAATTATATAACTGTGATCATTAAATTATTTGCAAGTTTTTATATTGTTTAATTAACTGACAATCTAACATGATTATTCCATGCTGTGGGTATTTCCATTGATTCAAATCTATTGAATCATATGTTTCATCCAACGATAATAATTAGGAAACTATTAATATTAAAAGTTCGAAATTTGTTTTTAGCATCAATCATGAACATGATTATCGATGAAAGTTAACGTGTGATATGATAATTGTATTGTTACGCTTCTGATTATTAAGTCCATACTACTAGTACTTAGTTTATTAATAGTATTATCTGATTATATTATCATATTATTACACTGCATTAGGAAAGTCTAGAGATTGAGCGTTATTTGATTTATTTTAATTATTTATAAATGCATGTTAACTAAGGGGAAAAAATGTTGCTATCAATTTTCAACAGCATTATATTGTTATTCAACTCATAATTTATTTTTTTCAAGTTGTATCCTTGAAATATTTAATGAAATATAATAAAATTGAAAGCAGTTAATGGATTGTTTAGGGATTTGATCTTACCGGTGGCAATTAGGTGAGTTTAGGTTACTTTTTTTAGCTTTTTTAGTTCTTGGTCATTACAAGCTGTATGTGAAGCTTGAACTGGCCGATTTAGCGTCAAAGAGCTAAAATTTTGCGTGATAATGCACCACCCACAGGTCAGTATAAACAAAATCATGGTTGGAGGTCAATGAGATCAAAGTCATGCAATGGCCTGCATTCAGTCCTAATCTCACACCCATTGAGAAATGCCTTGCTCGTAAATTTTACGACCATAAGTGTCGATTCAGAACTTTGGATGAATTGTAGCTTCGAGTTGGCAAAATTTAGTCATAGACTCTTATTGATTTGACTGAATCGCTGACCTAATCTTTCAAGATTAACTGATAGAGTTATACAAAAAAATGGTTAATCAATCGACTTTTGAGCTCTTAATTGTTGATTCATTGACTAATCTCTAAACTCTTCCTAAATTTTCCATATTATTTATTTTGAAAAACGCCTTACTGGCCTGATTTTGTTTGTATGATAATTTAGTTTATTATTTATTATTTTATCAGAGTTGATTTCGCTTGATTACGCAAATTATGTTTCATTGTTGAATAATGTTAAAAACAGAGTTTGGAGTTAATTTACATTTGGTTTGTTCATATGGACAAATTATCAGTTTCATGCTTCTACCAATCTACAAAATGTCAACTCTTAACTGGAATGGAAACTCCTTTGAAAGGCTTTTAATCCCTGAAATGGATATTTCAATCTGAAAATGGCTTTTATTTTTTGGATTTTCTAATTGTTGGTCTAATTTCTTTCATCGAAAATTATGGTCCATTTTAAATGTATGTAAAGATTGATGCAATTTGTTAGTGAAAAGAATTTGCGATCAGATTGTGATTTGTAGCCTCAAGTCCATCTAAACTTTTGTAACTTTTGTAACTTTTGTTTCATAGTGTTGCATTTTGAGGGCGTTTCACTTGTTACAAAAAGTCATCTTTAATCAAAAGTTACAATCTTTTTTGAAACTATTATAATTCATCAAAAAATTAATCATCTAAATGCGTCAAACGCTTAAAAATCACGAGTTGACACCTCAAAATAATGCATGGAGCTGTGCATAGAATAGTCACAGATTTGATAATCTCATTTGATTATTCACTGCAAATGCAAAATTCATGATCTTTCTGAATGATTAACTGCCTCTCAAATAAAATTTTTTAAGACAATAATGTATTAACAATGGAAGGCTATGTAATTGCTCGCAAATATTTTCAACTGATATTTTCCTTGTCATTTGCAGATAATTCTTGTACAGAACTCATGAAAAGACACGATTACTATTATATTTGAGAAAATCGAACGCAGATTAGGTCATTTTATGCATAAAAATTATTTCACTTCGAATCCAATTGGATTCAGTGGCTATGACCCATCGTCAAGCTCATACAGTTACGATGAGAATCTTATTCTTGATATTTACCTTCAAGATGAAAGCTATTATGATCAACTTTTGAGTAAAGTTTATGTAAGTATTTCACTTTGCTTCATTATTCAGATTAATAATTTCCAATTTAAAGTGATTCATTGCAATCACAATATTATGAGAGTCATTATGCATTCAAGAGTTTGCTTATGAAATAGATTGTATGGTAAAAAGAAGAAAATACAAATCAAACCTAGAAACATTATTTGTTCTTCTTCTTGTGTCCTGATGTTTCAAGATTATTATCGATCTGTTAATCTCAATCCAGCTTGAAACAATGTGAAAATTTTTCAAATTTAGCCAAATATTCAGAAAGATTGGAGTAAATAAGGTATGACTG